GGTCAAACAGATAGATATATTTTATTTTACTTTTTATTTAAATTAGAATCAAACTTCTTTTACATGTTAATCTCAGTTCCCTCTCCCTCCCTTCCTCCTCTGCCCTCTATTGATCCCCTATCCCAACCCATTTCTGCTCCCCAGGAAGGGTGAGGCCTTCCTTGGGGATCTTCAAAGTCTGTCATATCATTTGGAGCAGGGCCTAGACCCTCCCCGGTGTGTCTAGGCTACAAGAATGTCCCTCTATGAGGAGAGAGCTCCCAAAGTTCATTTGTGTACTAGGGGTAAATACTGATCCACTACCAGTGGCCCCATAGATTGTCCAGACCTCCAAACTGACTTCCTCCTTCAAGGAGACTGGAACAGTCCTATGCTAGTTTCCCAACTATCAGTCTGGAGTCCTTGAGCAACCCCTTGTTCAGGTTAGCTGTTTCTGTGGGTTTCTCCAGCCTGGTCTTGACCCCTTTGATCATCACTCCTCCCTCTCTGCAACTGGATTCCAGAGTTCAGCTCAGTGTTTAGCTGCAGGTGTCTGCTTCTGCTTCCATCAGCTACTGGATGAAGGCACTAGGGTGGCATATAAGGTAGTCATCAATCTCATTGTCTGAAAAGGGCTTTTAAGGTAGCTTCTCGACCATTACTTAGATTGTTAGTTGGGGTCAACCTTGTAGATTTCTGGACATTTCCCTAGTGCCAGAATTCTCTTTAAAACTATAATGGCTCCCTCTATGATGGTATCCCTTTTCTTGCTCTCCTCCATTCCTCCCCTGACTAGATCTTCCTGCTCCCTCCTGTCCTCCTCTCCCCTTCACTTCTCTCCTTCTCTTTCTTCTAACTCCCTCTCCCCTACCCCAATTATCCCCATTAGCTTAGGAGATCTTATTCCTTTCCCCTTCTCTGGGAGACCATGTGTGTCTTTCTAAGGTTCCCCTTTCTTTCCTAGCTTCTCTGGAGGTGTGGATTGTAGGCTCTATATCTAAAATCCATATATGAGTGAGTACATACCATTTTTGTCTTTTTGTGACTGGGTTATCTCACTTAGCATGGTTTCTTCTAGTTCCATCCATTTGCCTTCGAGTGTCAAGATTCCATTGTTTTTTTTTCCCCCCGCTGAGTAGTACTCCATTGTGTAAATGTACCACATTTTCTCCATCCATTCCTCAGTTGAGGGGCATCTAGGTTGCTTCCAGGTTCTGGCCATTACAAATAGTGCTGCTATGAACATAGTTGAACAGATGTCCTTGTTGCATGAATGTGCTTCTTTGAGGTATATGCCTAAGAGTAGAATTGCTGGATCTCGTGGTAGATTGATTCCCATTTTCCTGAGGAATCACCATACTGATTTCCAAAGTGGCTGTACCAGTTGACACTCCCACCAGCAGTGGAGGAGTGATCCCCTTTCTCCATATCCTCTCCAGCATAAACTGTCCTTGTTGTTTTTGATTTTAGCCATTCTGACAGGTGTAAGATGGTATCTTAGAGTTGTTTTGATTTGCACTTCCCTGATGGCTAAGGATGTTGAGTACTTTCTTATGTGTCTTTCTGCCATTTTAGATTCCTCTATTGAGAATTCTTTATTTAGTTCTGTACCCCACTTTCTAATTGGATTAGTTGGTGTTTTGGAGACTAGCTTCATGAGTTCTTTGTATATTTTAGAAATCAGCCCTCTGTCAGATGTGGGGGTTGGTGAATATATTTTTCCAGTCTGTGGGCTGCCATTTTGTCTTGCTGACTGTGTCCTTTGCCTTACAGAAACTTCTCAGTTTAAGGAGGTTTCGTTTATTAATTGTCATCTCAGTGTCTGTGCTACTGGTGTTATGTTCAATAAGCATTCTGCTGTACCAATTTGTTCCTGGGTACAACCTACCTTCTCTTCTAAGAGGTTCAGTGTGGCTGGATTTATGTTGAAGTCTTTGATTCATTTGGCCTTAAGTTTTGTGCAGGGAGATAGATATGGGTCTATGTGCAGCATAAAATACCTTGGGGTAACGCTAACCAAGAAAGTGAAAGGCCTGTATCATAAGAATTTTGAGTCTTTAAAAAAAGAAATTAAAGTAAATACCAGAAAATGGAAGGATCTGCCATGTTCTTGGATAGGTAGGATCAACATAATAAAAATGGCAATCTTGCCAAAAGCAATCTACAGATTCATTGCAATCCCCATCAAAATCCCAGCACAATTCTTCACAGACCTTGAAAGAACAATTCTCAACTTTATATGGAAGAACAAAAGATCCAGGATAGCCAAAACAACCCTATATAATAAAAGAACTTTGGGAAGCATCACCATTCCTGACTTCAAGCTCTATTATAGAGCTATAGTCCTGAAAACAGCTTGGCATTGGCACTAAAATAGGCAGGTAGACCAATGGAATCGAATTGAAAACCTGATATTAACCCACACACCTATGAACACCTTAATTTTGACAAAGAAGCTAAAATAATACAATGGAAAAAAAAAAGCATCTTCAACAAATGGTGCTAGCACAACTGGATGCTGGCATGTAGAAGACTGCAGATAGATAGATTTTAAATAAATAGATCATCTTCAAACACTACAGAGACCTGAAGAATCTAGCATTTAAAATGTTTTAATAACATTAAGCTTTTCGTGACAATGAGACAGGACTGCTCCTGTCAGTACTAATTTACTTAAAAATAATGAAGGACATCAAAGAACTTCCATATGGAGTTTTCCTTCAATATGGCAAAGCTATCCATTTGGACAAGAAATTACCCTTTCCTTGACTGCTGATAGTATGCTATCCAAATTGGACAAGCAGGACACAAAAGAAGGTGACTGCTAAATTTTGCCAAGACAAGGTGGGACAGTCCTTCAAAATTCCTGCTTCACAAAAAAGTCTGTCAGATATTCTAGGCTGAAGCTGGATGCTCCCACATTGCAGAGAAACTTTGGATGACTGTCCAGATAGAAAGATGTCTCTGTAGTTTCTTTAGTTTGGGAAATTGCTTGCTCTGCACTTCTTGTTTACCAAGATAACATTATATTCTTCTTAGATCTCTGATGGGGTTGAAGACTAGATAGTTATAGTTTTTCTTGTTACAAAATTCAAAAAAGAAACACAAAAAAACGATATAAGGTGTATAAGGTTAAGAGACATAAAAGCTTAAATTGTTTATCTAAGAAAATGTTTTGAGGTCTAAAAAGATAGTTTTGGGTTGGTAATACAAGTTGGGATAGAAAGTGAAATAGGTACAAAACTTTGAACTCATCAAGCTAGGATAGATAATGGAGTATTTTCTCTGCATTTTCCAAATGTAAATGTATTGTAAATTGTGAATGTAATTCTTACCTAATAATTGTTCTTACTGTATATAGTTTTTACTGTGTTAGACTAACCTCTCCTTTTTATTTAAACAAAAAGGAGGATATGTTGTGGAATACTTTGATCATACTCCGACACTCCCAAGACTGGCAATGAAGTTTACCTTGAATCAGAGGGCACAGCTAGCTACTAGTTGACTAAAATTAGCCATAGAGGTTTTGGAGGAGTCGGGACATATAGAGACATAGGAAGTAGTAAGGAATGGCTTAGAAAGATGCTGGGCCCTTTTGGATTGAGGAAGGAGAGAGAGAGGAAGTCATTGGATGCTTCTTTGCCACTTCTGAAATCAATCAGGTTTTTACCCCGATATCAGACTCCTGAGTTTTTAATTGATAAAAGAATAGTTAAATACTTCAATAAGCACCTCTGCATGCATATTTATCTCTTTTTAGAGCAATTGGGAGGCAGAAGGAGGGAGGAAGGGAGGAAGGGGGAGAGGAAAGAGATAGAGAGAGAGAGCTTGCTTCGTTGGGTGACAAAATAAGAAAGGAAATGAGGCACCTAGCCTCTTTCTTCATAAATAACCCAGATAGCATCTGTCACTGTGGTGTGGTAAGTTGCCGTTTAACCACACACTGTCACAAACTAGCGACTGTCACATCCCATGCTCCCCTGGCCTCCATAGTTTGAGTGGCTCCCTTGGTGATACCACAGAAAATCTTCATTGCTATTACTATACAAAATGATATTTGAAATAAACAAGGGGAAATACTTACTTTAGAACATATTTTGGCCATTCAATTTCACCTTTATATACTAGCAACTAACTTCTATTTAAATTTAGCCTCAGTTATTAATTTTTAAAATCTAGAAGTTGACTATTAGCACCTTACACATTATAGACACTGTATTAGGCCCAAGAGGTGAGGTTATGAGGTAATTCCTGTCGTAAGGAGGCCTTGTGGAGATAACTAAGCATCAGACAGGAAGGATTCTACCAATAAACACAGAACACTAAAGAGTTTGAGAAAGGGGAGTGATCTGGGCCTCACCAAGGGAAGTGGGCGCTGAGCTCCAGTGGTTGTTAGCTAATAAGAGGCATGACCAGAAGCAAAAGCATCTGTGAAGAAGGGGCAGCTTGGACAGATGCACTGAGGTTCAGAACATGGCCTGCTACAACTGTAATCAAGAAAAAAGTGGACAACCCTGCAAGGTGAGACTGGAGACGTATACAATGTTGAAGTCATGACACTACACAGAGTTATTTTACTGGTGGCTTTCTGACACCCCCATATACAATTTCATCTATACAATCTACATCACAATGCTTTGTGATACAAAAATGATGTCACCTCAGCTCCAGGGATGGGTCCCAGTAGATGAAAATCAGTGCTTTCAGACCCCAGGTTTAAACATTACATAAGACAATTGCTAATAAGCCAAGGAAGGAATGTGATCTAATCTGGACCTTAAAATGATGGTAAAAGCCTTCTCATTTCCTCTAGGGATATATTGAGAAGCCCATTAACTGAGTTACTGTTATTGGCCATGGGACTAAGTCAACTGGGTGAACAGCAAAGAGAAGAGGAAGAAGCTTGGGCTTTGGTGACACTACATTGTTGTCACTATATTAAGCAACCCTGAAGCCAGAGTTACCTCTGCAACTCTTATACTGGGGGACAGCAAATTTCTCTGTGTAGTGTTTTCTGATACCTGCTTCCAACAGCATCACACTGGATACAGCTCCAGGGTGAGGGTTCTTGTTGCCTCATCTCAAGCTGACAATGTTCTGGATTTTGAGAGGAGGCTTTCCAGCTGACCTGTGCAGATCTTATCCACTGGACCTGGGATCTGAGGACCTGAAAGAACCAGAGGACTACAGTCTAATGCTGCAGGCAACCTGACATCACTTTTAGTGTACTTTTAGTCACGAATGAAACACAGAAAGCAATGATCCAAGGAAGATTGTTTGAGTTCAGAAAAACATGCTCAGAAAAACATGTAAATAAACATCAGTGAGCACATGCTGAAATTAACAACAGCCCTTTCCCAGAACTTTCTCAGGACAGACAATTTAAACACAGTTGCCTGACAGACTCTATAGACTATATCTGGGAAAGCATGAAAGCAAGGCAGGAGGCCATATCCGGATTCAGGGCACACTGACCAGATTGGATTCTACAGCTATGTTTAGACATCCAACAAGAATAAACATGTTTTTATAAGTTGAATAGAAATGTTTGTCACAGGAAGCATGAAAGCACATCCAAGAACAATCCAGGGCACAAATGCACCTGAGGTAAAAGGCCATCTGCTTTTTTTCCTGGAACCTCTCTCACAGTTCCACAAGGTATTGTTCACCATGAGTCATTATTTTGACCATACTCTGACAGATAACTGTGTGACTTTATTGATGAGGACCCGGATATACCTCACCCCACCCAAACAGTACAAAACTAAGTGAAAAAAAAAAAACAGAAAAATAACTTTTATATATAAATTTCAAATGTTATCTACAACACACACACACACACACACACACACACACACACACACACACTGAATTATTTTTCTGAGGAATGAGATTGTCACTAGGCTTTTCAGTTCTGCCTTGCTTGGTGTTATCTGGTCCTTTTTGCTCTTCACCACTATTTGGGTTTCCTGCAGAGAATATTCTTTGCTTCTATAATTGGACATCAAAGGCAATAACTGTTTTCTGTGTAAATTAATTCTACTCATCACAAAAGAAGGCACATTTACTTTTAAAAATGCACAAGGACCAAAAGAAAGCTAACCAGAAGCCTATCTAACACAGTCTGTTAGCAAAAGAGAAATATTTCAGGTCTTTGTATACTGTGTCCAGATGACTGAAGACTTATAGTTGGTCATAGGACAGAATAAAATATCTTGAGATCATGAATTTATCCAATTTGTATTTTAAACCCTCACTTTATAAAATAAGTGAAAAAATTACTCTTTTTCATTTTAAAGTTCCATTATATAAAATAGACATGCTGGCAAATTTTGAAACCCTCAGGAGATATCATTTAGCATCTTTGGAAAGCATAATATTTAATTATCATAGCATGAGGTTCTTTTAATGGCACATTTCAACATTGCTATTGAGACTTGATTTCTGAGAGGCAAATCAAGTGGTATTTCTACTATTTAAGTGGTATTTCTACACGCCTTATTTAAATACAAGCTATGTGCATAATTATTCTTGATACCATTGCCACTTAAAAATAAAACACATGACAATACAATACCCATGGACGTTTTCCCCTCAGTAACTACAATCAACAGAAAGTGCCACAAGTACCACTACACACTGACGTTCCTCCAGAACCTTTGGAGCCCTGACTGCTAACTAACGTTGACCATGGATCTGATTTGCAGTTAGCCTTCCTGTTACCTCAGCCATTTCAGATAAGGTATACTGCAAGAAGGAAGACAATGCCGTTTAACTTTTACTAATTATCTTTAAGTATAATACTTGCCTTTTTCTTCAGTTTCTACTTAGTTGTGCACTTCCTTATGCCCTTGAAAAGTGGTATTATGGTTTTCAATTATTTGCTCTCTGATATTGATAAGCATATAAAAATAACACAAGCAAACATCTTAAACAAGATAGGAGAGGTAGTGCCTTCCCAGTGAGTCCTACCTACATAATGAGTGAGCAACAATGAGGAAGGTGAGGAAGGCATTAGGGCTGGTTATAGACATCTAGATATTCCCCTAAGTGAGCACAGGGCAGGACTGCCCTTCTCTGTTTCTTTTAGAGTTGGGTTGGCATATAACTCTCTTAAGTGTTTGGTTGTGAGCCTAGCCTTTAATAGCTGAGCCATCTCCAGCCTAGCACAGAACTCTCTGTGACCAATAGTCATTGTATGAAGGGTGATTCTTAGAGTGTTCATACTTTCTTTCTTTGTCTTCATCAACCTGAGCCCTTAGGTGATCGTACTTAGCAGAGAACTCCTTCCATTCACTCCTGAAAGAATGCCCTTTTAAAAGCAAAGTTGTTGCCTATACTATTGGTTAGAAGAAAACTGAAGAGAAGGAATCCAGAGCCTGGATTCCTTCAAATGGCATTTGTCTCCTTGTTTCCATTTGGTTAACTAAAAGTTCAATGAACATTTAGGGAAAAAAGATTAAAAATCATCCAAAACGAAGGTCATTGTGTGACAGGAAAATATTTTCATTATAGGCTTATAGACACTGCTTCAATTCTAAAGCCATGCTCTCATACTTGGATGAATACAGGCATGCCTACGAGCTATAAGGGAGGGGTTGGAATCAGGGGAGGGGTCTTTACACTGATTAAAAGTCCGCTAATGTAAGCACATTCTGTAGTATCTACAGAGCCAACTTAGATAAGGCCATGCTCACACTGATGTCAAAGGCCACTTAGCAAAGAACCAAGATGGGGGTAACACCAAAGCACACACTGCATTTGTGCCTCAGGAGCTCACAGAAAGCTGAAGTGACCAGCACAATGTCTCGGTTTAGTTCTGGAAAATCCATATAACCTTTCACATTCAATTGTTTACCTCACATTTATTGGGCTCACTGTATAGTGCAATCCGAACCTGTAAATGATGAGGGATTTTTGTTTTGCTTTTTCTTTATAGTTATATAAGAACTACAAACATGAGCTATTTAGACCCACTTTGGTGCAACTTAAACTTAATATTGTAATAAATACTGTACAGGTGATGATGGTGACATTGTGGTTCCAGGGCCATCTTCCTCTAGAAGCCCTCTTGAATGGACTAGATTCAAAGTGGTTCTGTCCCTTTAAATAGCTACATTGGCAAGTTACATCAACTTTCTTACCCATAGGTTATCCGAAGCAAAAAGCCAGCTCACAGTCGTCATGCATTTCCACTTCGTGCTTCTAACCGAGCAAGCCAGAGAAAGAAAGGACACTGTGAAAGCCAAAAATAATCAAAAATGAAACAAATGCATCTATGGCTGTTTTGAAAGGCAGGGCCACATACAGCAGAACATGCCTTTCTTTGTGGTGACCGCGGTGGGAGGGGAAGGCCGCACTCACCGTCTTCATTCTTTGTTATCTTGTGAAGAGGAGTAAGAGATGGATGTACTATTTTGAGTTGGAGCACTCTGCACTGAAATCATCAACCAAAAGAGGGTCAAAGCTGAGTGTTTTATAATACTAAAGACATTTCCACTGCTTTCAGTTCCTTTCTCTTTTGTTTGTTTTGTTGGCTATTGCTAAGTGCTTTGATTAATTTCTCTGTTAATGTAAAAACACTAGTTTATGCTTCCTCATAGCACTTAATTCTGTTTATGCCTAAAAGATGTTCTGGGAGAACCAGTGAGGCAATGGCAGTGCCCAAAAGGCCCGATGCGGACCTCACTGCAAACTCTAATTTAATCAGCAAGAAAGCACAAGTATACACTGCCAATAAGAGCCATTCCCATGAACACACTCAACTGTTGGTGTATGGTGCTGACGAAAAGTGATGGTGATGGCTGATGGGAACAATGACAATGAAGGTAATGATGAGGATGAGGATGAAGATGAGGATGAACTGGATTCTTTCACAAGTTCCTAAATTTTTACAGTTTGCATCGTGTGCCAGGAGGCGAGTCAAAGCAATTGCACTTGTCGTAAGAATAGATGGAATGGGGGCTGGAGGGACACACAGTGGTTAAGAGCTCTGGCTGCTTTTCCAGAGGACTCAGGTTCATTCCCAGCGCACACACATGACAATTCACAACTGTCTGCAGCTCCAGTTTTAGGAGACTGGACACCGTCACACAGACATACAAGCAAGCAAAACACCAATGCACATAAAATAAAAATAAATGATTAAAAAAATAGATGATATGAAAGGCAGCTATTGCTCTGGTTTAAAACAAAGTTCTTAGTCTTTGTGTTCTCTGGCTGTGTTGGTTATTTTTTACTTTGCTGTGACCAAAATAAGAGAAGAATCCTGTATTTTAGTTCACTGTCTCAGAGAGTTCAGACCACATTCAGCTGATTCCTTTGTTCTTGGCCTGAAGCAAAGCTGAATATCACAGTGGTGAGGCTATGTGGACGAGGAAGCTGTTTACCTCATGGCCAACTGAAAGCCAGGAGATAGAAGGGATGGAGACTAGGAATATCTCCTAAGGTGTGCGCTAGGGACCTACTTCTTTATCTAGGCCAGCGTTTCCACTATCTTCAATTTAGTGCCACTAGCTGGGGACTAAATGTTTAACAGAAAGCCAGAATATTTAGCTTGAAAATAAGATTTTATCCATAGAGCCTAGCCCCTCTTCCAGTGTGCAACTGGCCCATTTATTCATTCATTAATCATTTAGAGAAAAGTCTGTAGCTGGGCAGTGGGCAGCCAGTGCTAGAGTAAACTATGGGCTCGGGCTTCCTGGACTTTGCAACATGGCTGTTTAAACAGAATGTCTCCTGCCCTGATCCTACTCTTTTATATGCTCATTGTTACATGGCAGCAGCAGTAGTAGCAGAAGCAGCAGTAAAGTAGGTGTACTTACTGGCAAGGTGAAAGGTGAGCAGGCAAAAAGCAGCACTGCTTTTCCCTCAGACCTTTTTTATATTTGGCCTGCCTTCAGAAGATACTGACTATGCTTGGGGTGTCCTCTCCCTTTAGCTTATCCTTCAGGAAACACTCTTGTAGATCTACATGGAGGCATGACTCTTACTTAGTTGATCCCAGAGCCAACTCAATCTGACAACTGTCAGGTCCAAAAGAAACTCCAACTTCCCAAACTACAAAAGGCAGTGTGTATGTCCAGAAATGATGGTCTTGGGCCAGCTGAAGCTGGACTATAGAAGGATTGCTGAAAGCCTACAGTCAGAAAGCCTATTTCTCAGAAGCCTGTGAAGTGGGATTCTGTGTGCCAGAAAGAGATGCTTTGCTGTCTCTCCTTCCTCTGGCTTCCTATCAGCTGTATCTATGGTGCATACCAAAGCCAGTGCCAACCCCCAGACCCCTCTAGTCCCTTTCACGTGTGTGCATTTCAAAGTCCACACCAGCCTCCTGGGCCTTCTCACCTCCCCAACTCCTCTGCACTATTCCAGCTCCCAGGCTATTGCAGTTCACAGGCTGCCCTTCTCCAAGATTATCCTTCATTCTCTATGTAACAATGAGGTTTGTTTTTTCTTGCTCTCCCACTATTCTATTCTCCCCACTTCTTCCTGCCATTCTTTCCAGAGATAGGCCTAGATATGTCCATGCCCAGTCTTCTTTCTTTTCTTTCAGCTTTGAACTCTTTCAGACACCTCTGGGTGTCATCTCTATCTTACCTACAATAAAAACTTTCCCCTTAACCATGGAACAGCCATTTTGGTGGTTTCTTTACTGTGTCCTGTCTTATAACAATCAAGAGTGGTCATCACAGCAGCATTTACCTCTTGATAGCAGACAGTCACTCTATTACTGGATTTATGTTTTATCTGCTCAATGTGTTGGGAGTTTTCTCATCATAGGGGGAAATGCAACCTTTTGCATTGGGGCTTATGTGAAGGATTGGGGCCATGATACATATACTGACCCAGAAGTACAATAAGTTTAATTCTGCATGTACTCTGGGCATCATCACTCGTCCCAACATTCTGGATTTGAAGAACACTTTTACAGAACACTTCCTCCTCCACTTCAATGCATCCAAGTCAGTATTTCTAAAGGAAAAGACAATTCACCTGAGCCTGATTTGCTTGCGCTCTACTCCCCACATGCTGTTCTGAAAAAGCTGATGTGCAATGGGCTCCTCAGCAGATTCTTGGGAACTGTCCCTTTCCCTTCATGGGATGAAGGAGGCAGGCAATGTTTACCAAGGGTAAACAAAGCCATTTAAAAAATCCAGGAGTAGATCTAAAACCTGAACTCACCAAGGGGCATGGAGGTTTGAACAGTACAGGCTCTGCTCTCTACCTTGGAAATAGGCCATGGCCCAGAGTCATCTGCCTGGTCTCCTGGACAGAAGTGAACTGAAGCCTCCACCTTGTACTGCTTTCATTGAGCAAGCCTTACTGCACACTCTGAGCCAGGATGTGTTTGCTGCTGCCAATAAACACGCCTAATGATACTCTCAATAAAGCCTGCATTTTAAGCCTTGTTTTTGCTCTTCTTTTCATGTTGTTTTTCTCAGTGAAAGGATCAAAGCAAAGAGGCTACTCTCCCCCCAACTCAATCAGGCAGGAGTTCTTTGAAGTAAATGCGATTCCCTCCTCCTTTTCTCTGGTAAGGACAAACCTTCATCACCAGAGGCCAACAGTAGTTTTGCCTCATACCCATCCCTTAGCAGGTGTGCATATGTCTCAGGAAGCGACATCTGCAATCTTTGTCCTCGGATCTCCATGCCTTGTTTTTAATCACTTGATGAGAGCCATTGGGTGGATTTTAATATGCCCAGGATGGTTGAGAACATCTAAAGACAACAACATCCATTCATTAAAAACACAAGAAAACAAAGACACAGAGTTCAGCAGAACAGAAAAATAAATCAGGGAATTTTTGAAAAGACGTGTAGTTACAGCTCCAGGCTGTCTTCAGGAAAAAAAAAAGTATCAAAATAACTCCAATAATGATCATCTCAGAAGCAAAATAAAGCTGAAAGCTTGTTACTATGGTTCTTGCTTCCACGGGGAATTCAAAGTATCTTATAAAAATAATAGGATGGTGAAGTTTTAAAAAAACAAATGTAGAAGTCGAGTTGAGTGTGGTTTCTGCTGGGGCCTTTCAATGTTATGGATGTTATGAAGCCTGTGAGTCTCGAAGAGTGACTATTTCTCTAAGGGATGATAAACGATAATCACACTATTGTATACACTCACTGTGGGCTGGCCATTGCACTGGACTTTATGGATGCTCTCTCTTATTATATAGTGTTCCTGGCAAGTGTTTCCAGGGTACTTTTAGCCCCATTTCACAGAAGAAAAAACAGAGGCTCAGAATGCCCAAAGTCAACAGGTTGAAAATGGCAGAAATCAAGCTCAGATCTGTTTGATTACAAAGTATATGCAGGACTTATCAGAGCCTATTCTTTCTTTGAGAGTGTTCATCACTCAAAGAATGAAGTCACATCTGTCCTCACTAAGTACACTGAACCAAAAGTTGGACCTGTGGTAATACATTATTTATGATTTATTAAAGCTTGCCTGAGGATTCACAAAGCAAAGTCAGCCACAAGCTATAGAGGTCAGGCAGTGGTGGTACACACCTTTAACTTCAGGACTCAAGATTAAGAGGTAGATAGATCTCTGTTAGTTCAAGGCCACACTGACTACACAAAGTTGATCCAGTCCTAAAAGAAACAGTTCACACAAAGATGATTTCAGCACCTGGGATCACATGACTAATTCCAGTATTTGGGAGGTGGAGACAGGAGGATGTGGCTAGGTAAAAAAAGGAGTAAAAGGAGGAGGAGTCAGGAACTGAGAGCTTTGCCTCTGAGGATTCATGGAGAGCATTGTCTCTGAAGATTCATGGAGACAATATCAGCCATTTCAGCTGGATAGAGGTAAGAACTACTGGCTTGGCTGCTTTGCTTCTCACATCTTCAGCTTGAAGCTAGAACCCCAATATCTGTCTCTGGGTCTTTTATTATCTGTGCTACACTGACCTGAACAAAATCCCTTTCTAATTGTTCTCAAATTCCAAGAGAAAGCATTCTATAAAGTTCTAGGCACGTCTCAACACTCTCTGTTGTATAGTTGCTGTATCAGCCCAATTCTCTTGATATTTTCACCTTCAAAACATGCTTTTCATACAGATGGGGTTTTAATCATAGAATAAGTTATTAATGTAAACCAGACACAATGCTCTTAGGAATTCTTCACTCCATGGATGAGTTTATATAAATGTCCATGATACTTCACTAATTCTCCCATGTTTACTTTCAATGAGACATTACAATATTTCATAATTTAGACTTTTTCACCTCTGGAAATAAACCAGACTGGGATAAAACACTTTTTTTTGTCAAGATTTTGGAAGAATTTAGTCAGCTGGGTAACTTGTAAAATCAGGACCAGACAACTAATGTGAGAAAGTAATTTTGTTGGAGGCTGGTGCATGGCCTCCTGACCCCCCTCTTATAGCACCTGGCCTCCTGAACCCCCTCTCAGTCTTAGAAAGGACACAGCCTCAGCTTGAGTCCACTGGAGCAATCATCCTGGCTCTTCAATACTTGACATTGGTTGAAAGGGTTCACTTGGTTGAAAGGGCACTTGGTTGAAAGGGCTCACAGGAGAGCCCAGCTATTCAGGTTGGACACTTAGTTAGATCAGCATATGCTTTTCACTGGTCACCTTCGTGCACATGGCAAGGATACTGAATGTGGGCAGCCAGACTAAATGTAAAGTTAAAAGTGAGGAAAGTACCAGCATCCATGTCTCCATGCTCCCAACTGTGGATACAATGTGCGGAGCTGCCTGGAACTCTTGTCACCACAGGTAACAAGACACCTTGACACCACACCTACACCATAATGGGCTGCACCTCCAAACCGTAGGCCAAATAAACATTTCATAAGTTGCCTGACAAAGTTACTAACATACTGAGTAAGGACTCTATGATGAACTATACACCTACATATTTTGATTTATTGTATTTTTTTTAAACAAGGGTCAGTCTGTAAGAATCAGTTCTCTTCTTCCACAATGCAAGTTCCAAGGATGGAACTTAGGACATTACTCTTGTTAGCGTTTTTATCCACTGAGTCATCTCACTGCCACCAATTTAATTTAGGTAATAATTTTCTTTGTTGAAAAATACACTAAGTAAAGCAAGTTTTGTTCACTGGCATCCTTCTAGCTTTCTGTTTTTGGTTTCATTTTTGCCTTTTCCCTGGGCTCTCAGCATGATCATGGTCCCACAGGACCATGGAAGTTGGCATGTAGCCTTGGGCAGAGTTCTGTGTGTATCATTTCTGGGCCTATCCCACAAGCCCTCCTCTAGGCTATGTTCCCTTCTTTGGCCCTGTCAGGAAGTGAAGTACTTCAAGATTTAGGTGGAGACACAGTATGGAAGAGGTTTGAGTCCCTGAATTAAAGCAAAGACATCATCAGCCAGCCAGTGCCATGGCAACTGATACATGCTGTCCCTGATACATGGTTTCAGGACTGAAACCAGCCCTGCTCTTAGCAGTACCATTCTAGTCTCAACCTTTATGTCTTTTGATTCCTTTTATTAACAAGTTTTCAATGTCCCTGAGACACCACTTCACTGTATGCATCAAAATTAAGCAAATGCCTCTTGGAAGCAGTGATTTGCCATGATGTCCAGTGTCATTTCTGCAAATCTAATTCTCTTTCAGAGGACAAATTTGTCACCTATTGCCTTTTCCCTGGAAAGGTTTTTCCTTGTTGCCTGGGAAACTGCTCCTCCCTGTGCCCAGTCATATGCTGTAGTGAGTGCAAAGGCCAACCTCCAGGCCACTAGAACAGGCCAGTGATAAAGACATAAGGAAGCACCACTGAGTCTTTCCGCAGACTTCTCTTCCTCTGAGAAAGCTAGAGCAAACTGAAAAAAAAATTCTTTCAGTCCAGAGAACACATATCAATGATGTAAAAGCATAGAAAGCCTAGAACTTCTGCCCATATTGCTGTAAAAGAGAAGCTGGGTTGTTACGATAAATCTTTCTGCCAAAAGCCGCTGAGCCCCACCGCCACGTGTAAGCTTTATGGCAGCCGCCTGCCCCAGTTAGGCCCCAATGAAAAAACAGAGAGACTTTTTTTAGTTACAATGCTGCTTGGCCAATGACTAGGATTCTCATCTGTTAGCTCAGTATCAATTATCATACATCTATATATTTTATAAGACTTATCTTATCGGACGCCTTATTGGCGTCCCTCCTAGCTGGTGGATCACATCGTGCCGCTGGAACAGGAGCCGAGGGGAAAGAGAGCCACACTTCCTGTTTCCTCTTCTTAAATATGAGTCTCCTTGCTATGTCACTTCCTGTCTGGAACACCACTTCTCTACTACATTTCCCAGAATCCTCTTTGACTCCTAGTCCAGCCTAACCTGCTGTCTCATTGGCCAAGCAAGTACTTTATTTATAAACATACACAGAAGTATTTCCCCCATCA